CCCTAAACCCTAAGCCCGAATCCCTATATCCTTAAACCCTAAACGCCACCGAACGCCTCAGGTGGCGGAAGATGCCACGCAAGCGCGGAAAGGGAAGGGCGCGCCGATCCCAGGACCTCCAGTGATACTTAGGGCGGTTTAGGGTTTAGGGTTATAGGGTTTAGGGCTTTAGGGTTTTAGGGTCTTAGGGTTTAGGGTCTCAGCGTTTAGGTTTTAAGTATTCGGGTTTAGGGTTTGGGGCTTAGGGCGGTTTAGGGTTGAACAAACACAAAAACATCCCTAAACCCTAAACCCTAAACCCTAAACCCTAAACCAATTAAGGACCAAGAAGTCCTGGTCTCTGGAGGAATTGGGAGTTCAGAGTTGAGGCTCTACGGGTTTGGGTTTAGGGTTTAGGGTTTAGGGTTTAGGGTTTAGGGTTTAGGGTTTAGGCCCTAAACCTTAAACATTCAACCCTAAACCCTAAACCCCCTAAACCCCCTAAATCCTGATTTGGGGGGTTTCTGGAATTGGTGCTTTCGGGGCTTCGAGTCCTAATGGTCTGGGCTTGAGGGGTTTGGGTTTTAGGGCTTTGAGTTTAGGATTTCTACGGCTTCAGCGGTTCAGAGTTTCCATCTTAGAAGGAGTTCAGGGTTTAAGGGTCCTGTGCTTAAAGGTTGATTAGGGTTTAGGGTTTAGGGGATGAGGGTTGCAGGGTGTTGGGCCTTCTGCGGGTTTAAGGGTTCAGGGCTGCAGGGGTTCAAGAAGCTCTTAGGGTCTGGGTAGGGCTTAGGGTTGAAGGGTTCAAAGCGGCGGTTGATATAGGCGCCTAAATAATTAGCTATACTATTTCGGGGGTTCCTTATTATAATTATAGTATAATTAGAGTATAGGTACGTGCCAAAACGCTATTCTAAGCATTAAGGCCGCTACATTAGAACAGAACCTATAGAAGCCCAATGCAGCCCGAGGTGATGGACGGCGTTTGTCTCAGTGCGCAGCCTATACGTCGAACGGCCACGGGCCATTTCTTCCAGATCCGTGGCAGCAAGACCGGAAGGTCTGCAATTTTGCTTCGTCGTTTCGGACAAAGGGCGTGTACCCTAAATTGAACTGGGTTCAGTCAGAATTTCTGCTTCTGCCTAGCATGCTTGAATGGTTTCAAGCTTGGCAACTTTCTATTCATCCATCTGACTAGCTATCTGTATCTGCCTATACCTTTCTACCTATCTATCCATCTATGTATCTGTCGGTCTATCTATCGGTCTATCTGTCTATCCGTCTATCTATCTATCTATCTATCTATCTATCTATCTATCTATCTATCTACCTACCCATCTACCTATCTATCTATAAAGCTCCAATAGCTGTATCTATCTCTATCTATCTCTATCTATCTGAATCTATCTATATCTATCTATCGAGCTACCGATCGATCTATCCATCTATCTATCTATCTGTCTGCCCTATTTGTCTATCTAGAATATCTATCCCTCTATCCATCTATCCATCTATCTCAGTATGATTTAGGTTTTAGACCCAGCAGCCCAACAGCAGCGGATACTTGGCAAAAAGGCGATGGAAATTTGAGGTTTCAGTGCCTTGACCCCAATAAGGCTCCAAGTACACAAAAGGTATTTAACCCTAAACCCTAAACCCTACACCCTAAACGGTTTAGGGTTTAGGGTTTAGGGTTATTTAACTGGGGATGCTCAGAGCTGTTTTCAGCCCAGACTGGGGATAATAGCTGCTGCCCAGACCTTGACGTGCTTTCGCCGTGGGCAAGAGAGACAAGCGCCCTGGTAACCAGAAGCGCAAGTGGCACCGCTTTCGCGGCCAGATCTTGGACGGAGCTTGTGGTGAAGACATGTTATAGTACCCTATACCACCCTTTAAGGGGAACCCTATTCTAGTACCCTATACGACCCTATAATGGTACCCTACACTACACCTTAAGGATGCTGAAGAAAAGTTTGTTGCGGGGAATAAGAGTCTCTAAACCCTAACACTCTAAAACCCTAAACCCCTGAACCCTAAAACCCCAAACCCTAGGG